AGCTGATAATGAATAAATTTAATGAAAATGAACAAACCCGCCCGCCCGCATCATGCCCGCCTCTGTAATGGGAAACTATGAATCTTATTGGAGTGGCCTAAAATGCAGGATGGAAAATTTAGATATTGAAAATTTTTATATGCTGCCCATTTATCCCAATATGTTAATACTGAAACGAAAAGGATTTATTAGCAATTCTAAATTTAGTATGTCTCATTGCTATACAAAATTACATAACTCAAAATAAACATGATTTTATGGTATGCCTTTACTTTGCTAGCCATTTTTCTCTCCATTTCCAATCTCAGAGGAGCATTTAGTTTGCATATAGCAAACTAAAAATAAATTAAGTTAAAATAGAATTCTTGATTGAGGCTATGAATAAATAATGAGACAATGAATATTAATGAGGTTGGTTTGCTTCACTTGTTTCAAGTGGGGTTATAAGGAGGTTCTTTGATTGGTTGAATTCTGACCCTGAGCCCATTGAAGAAGTGAGAGAAAGACATTTACATGTACATGTCATTTTATTATTATACATGTAAAGAAGATACTATACACTTGCACATACATACTGTAGATGTTATAAGTAAATTTTACTTGTAGGCACCTACAAGTGAAATTTGTAAATGTTGTTTCCTTGTAAGTCTCTATTATTGGGCCAGAGAGTTGCTGAATTGAAATCTGCAAATCTTATCTAATTGCAATGGTAGGCAGGTTAATCAAGATGATGCATATTAGTAGGCACTGCAATGACATGTTGACTGTGGAAGTGTGTGTGTGCTCCTGGGAATCATAAATCTAATTATTTATTCATAATGTAAACAAAGTGTAACATTCTTTCTCAAGACCTATTGACCCCCTCATTTTTTAACTTCACAGGCTCTTCTTTATTCGTTCCCTGTTAATCTGCCTTAAACTTTGAATACATGTATATGACAGGTCTCAATTGTCTTTCATGTTTTAAAATGTATTGGTTGTCAATTGATGACTTGCAGCAAGATGTATTATTTGATTCATTGTGCTAATTTGATGTCAGTTGGATTAGTTTATTCATGGTATGTTTGTGGACCACACATAAATCTACATCTTAGTATATAGAGTTTTGACAAACAGATATTCTGCCATGATTGTATTGTGTCACAATGGAAACAGAAGATTATGAGCGCATTTGTATCCTTACTCTCTACTTGATCTTAACTAGTTTTGTGCCTTCTTTTTACTTTCTAACCAGCAGCAATGATAATCACAGGAAGTATGCTGAAATAGCAGTAATAATCTCCACTGCAGCAGTGCTTCCAATTACTGGATATATTATTAAGTTTCGCGATCATTTGAAAATGCAAGATTTAATTCTTGATAACCTTGGAAATGTGTAAGATTGTAGATGATTTTAATAATACCAAAATGTTTTTTGTTTTTGTATCCATAGTGTATGCTACATTTCTATATTTGTGGTCACATATGTCTTCATGGTCATTCAGAAGGAGTTAAGTGGCCAAAACCCAAGAGGAAAGTTTGATATTAAAACAATGTCTTTAAGTATTTTCATCTGTACTGTGATTTGCACCCAAATGATTGCAATGGGAACGTTTCAATACTTGGTATTTTCTATTGCATTTTTCATCATTTTGTACCATACTGTTGATAAGCTTTGGAAGCTGTGGTTAGTGGAGCTTGTAGGTGTAGCAGCCCTTCTTCTTGGTGGGATTAATCACAGAGTTGTATTATGGTTTCAAGATTCTTTTATTCCAATCCAAGAAGTGGTTGATGCTTTAAGATATGTCCGTGCAAATATTGCAAGTGAAATTACTTTAATTCTATATACTTTTGCTGCACTAGCATACTTTTTACGTCATTTTTGGAAACCAAGTGATCACATCAACAATAATAAAAAAGACAAGCTTATCCTGCTTATACAATTTATTGCTGTTATGTTTCAACTCTATAGTGCATATGACATACTTTTTGAAGTGTTGTGCTTATATTCCATTCAAGCGCATATTCACAAGAAAGGAGTGATTAATATCTTTCGAATTGGATTAAATGTGACTATGCTCTTAATGTGTTGGTTTCCACATGACTTCCAGCTAAGGCATGATTATTTACATGTATTAATACCCATTGCAGGGACAATACTGGAATTTGTGGAAAACAATTACATGTATAGCCTAGCTATGGGTTCATTACTTTCCTTCTTCATTTTTCCGACAGTGTCATCCATGCATCCAGTACTTTCATTATACCTGCAATATTATTTGACAGTAATATATTCTTTTGTTCATATACCCCTTCTTTTTGGCGGGATAACTACATGTGTTTGCTCTTTTGTTGTGTCCTTAGTCATACATTACTATTATATTTATTATCCCATTTCAGATCTAGAGATAAATTCAATTATATGTAATTTGAGTTTATTTGTTGCACTTACTGCCATTGTGGGAATAATATATCATACATATATGTTATGTAAAGGTGCAAGCAGGGATGGAAATTTACATGATAATACACCCAACGACTCAACAAGTCAATCAAAGAAGCAAACTTAGCAAGCTGTTTATAGTGACACTAAAGTTTATTATTAGATTCTATTTTTATAGGTTATATATAGCTTAGCAAGTTTTTATATTATGTGCTGCAAAATATTACTTTAAATATTGGCTTATTTTGTCACATTAAAGTTTTGATAATAATAATAACACCAGACTGGCACACCCTCAATTTTAGGCGTGCATGTTATACTAGAAGTGAAAGATATTAT